ATAAGGGCTGACAACCCTCAGCTACAAAGGCTGGCTGCTCATCTTGCCAGAACCTATTGCCCACCCCTATCCCTATATTTGGCAAGATGAAAGTAGTTGGCTTTATGGCCCAGCAGGAACTTTTGAGGCTCTTTCGGATTGCCTGGGAAAGAGCTCTTTTTTGCTCACTTCCCTTTGCCACAGAGTGGATTTATTTATTTTTAATCAGGCCTGGCCAAGCCCTCCCAGGGTTGGCTGGAACAGTGTGGGCTTTTGCTTCAGCTAGTAACATTTTGGTAAGCAACCTGAGGCATTTCTTGATGTAGAGAGGTTTCCAAAATTGGTCTTTCACAGCTTGCAAATCAAGGGGGGCTGGAGCAGGAACTTGCTTGGGAGTAGGACTTAGTTGGTTGTGGGGTGGGTGGGTTAGACCTTGCTATTTTTCAGATCCAGATTATCAGAAAGCCAAAATTTTTTAGTATTCCTGATTATCCAGATTCCAGATACTGGTTTAGTATTCGTATCTGTTGTTGTTGTTGTGTGTGTGTGTGTGTGTGTCCCCCGGGTTTCTGATATTGTTTGGTTCCATTATTTCCTATGGGGAATATTTTGGGGTGGGGGCTGGAGGGGGTGTTTTTTAAGCTAATGGCACCAAAACTGCAGCATTGCCACTGGTGCTTGTCCATTAAATAACACCCAACTTTCAAGTGAAAGTTGAAAAGGGTGCTCCCATCCATCCTCAGTTGTTTCCTATGGGGAGGGAGGAAATTCTATGCTTTCTCCAGGGCAAAGAATAGTCCAAGACACAAAAGCAAGCTAAGCAGCCATTGCCTAGAAAGCCTCCCAAAGCAGACAGAACCAACACACTCAAAGAAATAATGCAGAATCAGGGAAAGTAACTTGACCAAAGATCACAGTGTTGCAAAGCAACAAAACCAATTTCAAAGGGGCAGAATCTGAGCCGAAACCAACCTGGCAAGCTGATAACAAACCCAGGCAAGACAGACACACAGTAAAATTAAAGGAAAAAAACCCAATCCTGGGAGCCTGAAAACACTGGCTCACCATATTCCCGGTTATTCCCAAATATTCCCAAGATTTCATTTCCTAGTATCCCAAAAATCCCAGATATTTTTCAGACACTCAAATAAATCTGGAAAATACTGATAAGGTATTTTTTGGATATATATCTGCACTGGAAATAGCCAAATGATTATCCCTGGAAGATGGTGGAGTTACAGTTCCTCTTGGCATACTACTGTATGTAGGCTGGGATTAGGAAGGGCAGCTTTCGCCACCTCACGCTTGGAGTCAGGATGGAATTTACTTTAGTGCCAGCATGCCTCTGGCAGCCAGTAATTCAAGGCATTAAGTTCCGCCTTCTTCTGTATGAACTGACCCCATCCACTCTGGTCATCTTTGGAGGCCCTGCTTTGGGTGTCCTGGACATCTGAGGCTAGACAGGTGGCAGCATGAGAAAGGGCCTTGGGCATGGCACAGAAAACTTTGGAATCAGGGAGATTCACCTATCTGCCTCTATTGTCTTCTGCCAGCAGGAGAAGACTTCTGTGTGTTGTTTGGTGTTCACCTACTAACTGTTGTTGGCTGTCATCCCTGGTTGTGTTATGTGTGTTTATATATTTAATTGAATTGTTTAAATCTTTTATATATACTTTATTGTAAATGTTGTTTTAATATTTTGATGCTTTAAAGTTGCAATGTTTTACTGTTTTGATTTTTGCTGCCTTTGAGGACCCTATTTGGATGGACAGGTGGCATAGAAAAAGTTTTTTAATAAATAAATTAAGGTGCCTATACTGATGGGTGGATCTTTAAGGCTCAGGTCAGTCGGACCCATGTGGAATGTTTATATTGGGGATAGGGGGAGAGGAATATTCTCAGTGCCATGCTGGGCTGGCTGATTGTGTCTGAAAAGATTGTTTCGTTTGAATACTTACGTGGTTTATTACTGTCCTTTGCAGAATAGACTATGAGCCCCTGGTTGTGTGCTCTTCGTGCTTAGATCTCGCACAAAAAAATGTTTTAAGTCAAAATATTCTGCAGCTGGGAGGCCATGAAGTGAGTGAGTGGAAAGAAGAATGTACTCATCTTGCAATGCTCTCAGTCAAAGTTACTGTGAAGGTAATGTGTGTGTGTTTGGTATACAAGTACATTACAGATATTTCCAAAAAAGGTGTTGCAGAACCAAAAAAAAAATTAGCTGGTCACCAGACTTCCACCTGGTGTACCAGCTTCACTGGGCTGAATGGGATTCTGGCAGGACACCAAGTCTTGGTAGGACAGAGAAGAGGACACAAGCCTGCAGTACAATCTATTTATTTGAACCTTACCATAATATAAAAATAAATCTCAGAGCATTCACCAAAAATGGCAGTGTACATAATTAAGAGAGATCTCTTGACCACCACCTGAAGACCCCAGAAAGGCATTCAGGGGGTGGTGCTGAACAATGGAACCTTGACACTATTTATTCCCTTTTGCAAGATGATATCAAATGTCCTGTGGGAATGTCATGAGTGCACCAGTAGCCACAGCCTTCCCCTTGATGGCACCATAAAACCATAAACTTTTCCTCCCCGAGGGCTATCAGTTAGGTCTAAGCCTCTGGCCAGAGCAGGTGAGGTACAGACAAACATCTCTAGATATCCAGCCTTGGTGCATTCTGGCTAGAGGAATGTGAGGTATGTGTGGGAAACAGTTCATTCACAGCCAGCCCCACTTTGCAGCTAGGAAGCAGGCATTGGACATACTGCAGTGCTTCATGGAAAGAAACCAAAGTCTGCTTTTGCTACATCTGTTCCATATACCCTTATACATAAATGGCCAAGTCTCCCTTAATACAAAATTCTGCCACAGAAGGTAACTCAGTGAAAATGTTAGAGCCTTTGAATTGTTTGGTACAGCAAAATGATTTTTAGATTTATGTGTCAGTTTTCTCTGTTTTGATTTGTTTTGATTCATTTGTTTGCATGTTTGAACACAAAGAGATTTCCTGGCAGCAGGCACTACCATGCTGGAGTATTGTAACACTCTAGGAGACATCAGGCTTGAAATCTGTATAGGGAAAAAATGCCTTAGATGGCAAAAATAGTATGTTAATAACAAGAATACTGAGGTGAGGCTGTACACAAGAGACAGATCTGTTATGCAGATACTTTCTACAAGAGCACAGAATTTAGGTTTTGAGGTTTAGTAGGTAGAAAGGTCATCCAGGAAGGGTTAAGATTGAGGGGATTTAGGCCTTTGGATTTTGGCCTTAAAGAAACCATAAATAATGAAGTGGGGAGGTGGAAAGTCGGATTTATTAGGTCACTGTGGAAATGGAAGAGAAATGTAGAACATGGAAGAAAGGGGTGGGGAGCAGATGTATGCCATAGGGAGTGATCAGGAGTTGGAAAGTATTTATGGGGATCATCTCCCACTATTGAATGGTGTAAAGTTAACATATAACTATGCAGTGATAAAAATGTATATATATTTTTATGCCATACAGCAGAACTTATTCTGATGTAAAAATGAGAAATAAGGCTTGTTCTACTGAGAGACACTGCTGAAATTATTAGGTTCCACAATGAAATTTCTAGGCAACCTGGTGCCTGGGATTTGTCAAGGCATGAGATACTCTCAACCAGTGAATGGGTACAGGAGAAAAAGTGACTACTAAAGAGGCGAAAGAAATATGATCAGCCAGTACTGCATTTGTATTATTGAGAATTAAACTAATATTTTTTCTGCTTTATTTTTAGACAATATGTGCATTGATTTGTGGTCGACCAATTACAAAGCCAGAATATTTTGCTGAATTAATCAAAGCTATTCAGACCAAACAACAGTTACCTAAGCTTGAAAGGTAATATGCTGTTAGTGTATATCCTACATTTTACTTGATTGAATATAATTTGAGCTGTTGTTCTGTCGTGTAACACTTATTGAAACTTAAAACTTCTCAATCTTTACCTGCTTAGATATAGCCGTCATACCCAAGTCATGTATCCGCTTGCTCTTCAGGCACTGTTAACCTTTTATAAAATAAGGTTCTTAATCTTGTTTGGAAATTTTGCAGTGTTCATTTTAATTTGAATCTCAAAGTTGTGAACAGTAAAACATAAAAAGAGAACTCAAATTAGTGTGGTAATAATTAGAAAACAATTTAGCAGGAGTTAAAATACAAATATACCACTGCAGGCATTCTAGCATGATTAAAGAGTCAAAGTCCACCTAAATAAAAATGCTGTGTTTAATCTGGAAAGGTCTTTGCATATTCTTGTCTCTCTCCTATTGTGTGTGACATGCGGATTTCCTGGTTTGGAACACAATGTGGTTTAGAATCCTGGTTTATGGGCTTATAGCAGGGGTCTCAACCTTTTTGAGCCTGTGGGCACATTTGAAATTCTAACTCAATGTGGTGGACATAGCCACTAAGTGATTGCCAGCCACAAAGCTGTGCCAGCCACAAAAGATGCCCAAGTGCAGGGGACAAGAGGAGAAGGAGTTTTTAAAAATACACTGGGAAAGAGGAGTGAGAGAGGTGGTAGCTGCCACTGAAACAAGATTATTTTAAATTGCAGAGTGAAGTAATACTCACAAGAGGTTGTTATTTCTGGACCTCAACAAACAGGGAAAATATATACATATACTTGCATACCCTGAAATAAGGTTGTTCAGGGTTTCTGGAGAGAAGAACCAACACCTTGAATCTGGCCCAGAAACAAATCGGTAACTAGCAGAGTTCTTGGAGTCTGGATTGTTTTGCTTCAGTTAGCTAACACTTTATAGCCACTCTTTGCTGCAACATCTTAGATCAGAGGTCTCAAACTCATTTATTACCATAAAATGTTACACCAGGTACCAGAGATATAAACTTTATAAAGGACACAGGCAAACCCAATTAACAATATTATTTTTACTCAAAATACAAACAAAAGCAATTTATTCCTAGCAGTGAAAGCAATTGATTTACTGGGGAATCCACAAAAGCCCCAGTAAATGTGTTTAATCCTACACAAGACTAGGTTTTTTCCAAAAGATACCATAAAAGGGGAAGAGTACCTTACATTTCCATCCATATCAATTGCTTGCAGGCCAGGTAAGAGCCCTGGAAGGGCTTCTTTCGGCCCCTGGGTCATATGTTTGATACCCCTGTCGACCAATAGAAGCTTCTGAGTCACGGGTGTGAAACATGCGGCCTGGAGGCCGAATCCGGCCACTTGCAAGCCTCGAATCCAGCCCGAGAGCAGCTGACTCTATCCTGCTTCCTGTTTCTAGTTGCAGGAACTCCTTTCCCCCAGTCTCTCCTATTTCCTGCTTCAGAGAAGAGAAATAAAGCCTTCCCTCGATTGGCTGAGAGCTCCTCCCCCTCTGGAGGAGGAGGGGGGGGGGAGACATAGAGAGGGAGGAGAATGGCATCTTGTGGGACTTTTAAGAAGACCAGCAACCTCTTTTATTCCCCATATAAGCTTTTGTGTGGAAGCACACATTTTCTTCTTCAGAGGTAGAGAGGGAGGGAAAAAGCCAGAGGGAGCACACTAGAAAGAGAGAGACTCCCCTGTGTTTGACCAAAAATGTATGAGAGAGAGTCTCCTGAGTTTAATAGATCCAGAGGAGTTAGCTGTGTTAGTCTGTTGCTGCAAAATAGTAAACAGCCCAGTTGCAGATTTAAGACTAACAAACTTTATTGTAGCATAAGCTTTCGAGAAACACAGCTCAGATGCATGGCACGTGTGAAGAAATTGGCCAGAGATACATAGGTGGTAAAGGGAGGGGGGAGAGTATGCAGACTTTCTGTGTTTAAGACCAAAAATGTTTTATTCTAGGTATTGGGGGTGGGGGAGCCAGAGAGAGAGCATGTCAGAGAGAGGGAGGGGAGGGAGTCCCATGGCACTTGTCTTGGAGAGATCCCCCTTTCCATTTCTAACAGATGGGGGGGGGTCGAAATCTAACAGCACAGCTTGCATTCCTTATTAGTGAAAGAGAGCAAAAGTACATCAGCACCCAAATGACTAACAAAATTTGTGTCAGGGCATGAGCTTTCATGAGTCACTGCTCACTTCTTCAGATACAGCTGGAATGTGAGTCCATCTGTCCTTACATCTTGGAGAGTGAAGTGATTTCAGATGCCAAATGACAATAGCAGGCATTGGTAATGAGAAAAGAAACCCAGGTCTCAGTTCAGTCCAGTAGTTTGCATTGGCTTGAGCTTCATGATCAGTTGCAATTCAGCAGTCTCTCTTTCTAATCTCCCTTTGAAATTCCTTTGTAAAAGAACTGCTACTCTTAGGTCAGCGACTGAATGCCCTGGATTCCTAGAAGATTAAAATGTTCCCCCCCTGGTTTTTGAATGTTGTGGTTTCTAATAGTGGTAGAAAGAGTAAGAGTCCAGTAGCACTTTTAAAGATCAACAAAATTGTGGTAGGGTATGTGCTTTTGTGAGTCACTGCTCACTTCTTCAGACTTATTTGTATTTATTCTTTGCATCCTCCTGAACTGAATCCTCTTGTACCAAATTGAGACCTAGGCCTCGGCCACACGGGCAGGAAAATGCGGGGGGGAGGCATGGCTGTTTGCCCCAGAGCAAACTTAAAACTCGCAACTGCGCGATCAGGCGTCGGGTTGAGGTCCCCTCGAGCTCCCGTGGTTAGGGGGGAAGTGCCGATCACACAATGCGGCAAAGAAGTGGAGCGGCGTGGCAAATGGGGTTGTGTTTTTTAAAAAAACTGAAATGTGCGCATGCTCCGTTGGATGCTTGTGCACATCCGTGGAGACTTGGGGGGGGTCCTTTTTGCGAGGGGACATGGGCGGCCGCTGGAACTACCACCGGAAACCCGATCAGACGCCTGCCCTTGCCCCGCGGTTTCCGGAAACTAGTACCTCCGAGGTACTAGTTTTTTACCCAGCATCTTCAGCGGGAAGCCTCGGGTACGCCACGGGAGCTCTACGCTTCCCAGATGTGGCGGTAAGATCGCACCCGGAAAATCCGCCTATCTTCGTCTCTCTAGCATGCCTAATGCTCCGTGTGACCGGGGCCCTAGGTTTCCTGTCTCATTACCAGTACTGATATCTCCATGCCTACTACCCCTCTGCATATCACACGTAATCCAGTCACGCCTGCTATTGCCAGCTTGCATCTGAAATCATCTTTATAACGTTTATATCTCTGGTACCTTGTGTTAAATTTTATGGCACACATAGCCCGGCCCGACAAAGTGACATTTATGTCAAATCCGGCCCTCATAACAAATAAGTTCAACACCTCTGTTCTAGGTTTTTTTCAATGACTGCAAAACATAGAGTAGTGTGGAGTCTAAAGCATGTGGAACACTATAGTTAAGTCACTTTTTTCGGAGAAGATGCATTGCCTACATATAAAGTGAAATAGAAAAAGGGCGTTCCTGGCCATGGATATAACCTGATATGGCACAGAATCACAAAAATTCTATGCAGTGATCCTGCTCATTTAGGAGGAGCGTGAGATCTTCCAGAATAGGTATTTCCACTACTCCTTCAGTTCTAGAGCCACCCACTGAGGAATGTTTGTATTATCTGGACTGAGTTTTAATTTATGCAGCTTTATACAACCTCTTGTTGACCTTGGTCAACTGACCTCGCCCAGTAGTTTTGTGCAGATAGAATCAACTCCTATGAAAACGCAACTAAACAGCTGCCATAATATTACAGGGATCTTCTTGGCACTCCTTTATGAAATCTTCCAGTAATTAAGGAGTGAAACCACTGGAAGGGAGAGCTTTCTTCTCCAAGTCCACATCATCCATCTAGATTCTAGAACAATATAATGATCAGTGGGGTCAAAAGCCACATAAGATTCCAGTGAATCAGTAAATCCACATTCCCCATTGGGCAAGGAGACCAAGGCAGCCTTGGGTCTGAACCTCAGCTGGAAGCTGTATTGAAATGAGCCTAGTTAAAATCCTACCTTCTAGGACTTTCTGCAGCTGCTCCAACTACTTTGGCTTTAAAAAGTGAGATTGGATACTGGCCAACTTCTCTGTGAGGGTGCAAGGAAGACTATTTCAAGCAGGATTCTGACTATTGCCTCTTTGAGGCTGATTGGGACAGAGCTCTCCCTCACATATAATTATATTTAGTCACCTGCATAAAGTGGGTACCACTGAGCTTTGGTTATGTATGCTGTTAGGAAGCTGCTGAAATTTTCTGACGTTATGAGACTGCTTCACTTTCAGGGGTTTCTATGGATATCTCTATGGTAACATTTTCAAAGTGATGCATGGGCTCTCTTTTGAGAATAGGTACATTAACAAAACAGTTGTTGCTTTAGGAAGAAATCATATAATTAATGCTTACTCAGTAAGAGCATTCTACACAATATGTCCTATCTTCAGATTTTGAGATGAGGCTCATCATCAGGTTTTCTCATCAGCAAAAATAATTCAGGTCTTTAAATTTCCTTGAATAAGACTTTCCTTGTGACTTTCAGTCTGGAATTAAGACCATAATTTGTATCGTCTCTAGAGCAGGCCTAGTAACTATAAATTGTACTGAATAATCTTTAATATTTAAACTATAGTTCTCATATTTAAGGTAGATGATTTTTAGCCAGTGATTGAATTTAAAGAATCACAAGTAGGGCTCTGCTTGTGGAATAGATAGTTTTTGCTGTAATCCCTGTACACCCTGAAAAGCCACTCCTGAGGGTGGGAGAGCCTTAGGATACAAAGTGGGGGTAAGGGAGTGGGAAGGGAGGAATTGATGGAAACCTGTTCTCTCCCTTGAGCAAACAGGAATATATTTCTGCAAGCAGAAGAAAGGAATTTGACCCATTAGGCACTGTAGGTGGCTTCAACTCTTCAGAGTTTTAATGACATAGATTCTTCTTATGCAGAGTAGTTGTGCTAGCTGAAGTTATCGGCACCCAGTAAAAGGGGGAGAAGGAGCCATATAGGGATGTCGGAAGCACTTTTGGTCTTGGTGTGCATTAATGCTTTGGTGTGCCATGACATCCAAATCTTGGCAGGAGGGGGGAAATTCTTTTCAATCTATGTTTTCAATCTATGTACAAAGGGCCCTGTTTTCAAGCTATGTACTAAGGGGTTATGCTTTAAACCAGGGGTGTCAAATGTACGGCCCGTGGGCCAGATATGGCCTCTGCAGGGATCAGATCTAACCCCTGAACAACTGGCTCTCTGTTGCTTCCTTCTCTGGCGCTGCTGCTGCCACCTCATGACAGCTCGCTTTTGCCTAGTTCCTTTTTCCTGGTTCCTGCTTCAAGTGGTAGAGAACCAAGCCAAGCCCCCTTCCCTCAGTTGGCTGAGCTCTCTTCCTTCGGGAGGAAGAAGAAGAGGAGATTGGATTTATACCCCACCATTCACTATCTGAAGGAGTCTCAGAGTGGCTTACAATCCCCTTCCTTTCCCCTCCCCACAACAAACACCCTGTGAGGTAGGTGGGTCTGAGAGAGCTCTAAGAGAACTGCCCTTGAGAGAACAGCTCTGAAAGGTCTTATAACTGACCGAAGGTCACACCAGCAGCTGCATGTGGAGGAGTGGGGAATCAAACCCAGTTCTCCCAGATTAGAGTCTGCGCTCTTAACCACTACACCAAACTGGCTCCCTTTCCTCCATTGGCTTCGGGAGAAAGGGAAGGGGAGGGAAAGCAAAAGCAAGTGCTCGTGCAGGAGAAAGAGTAAAACCTAACTCCCATTGCTCCTTTAAGATGGGCAAAGTTTTATTTCAGGTATAAATTTTCATTTTTCTTCTTCAGAGAGAGGGTGAGTGGGTGGATTCTTCTGATAAGCACAATTTACATTGAGCTCACTCTGCTCTGCTAGTTTGTGGGGTGGGGTTTTTTTGAGACTTGGTCTCTCTCTCTCTCTCTTTCTCTCTCTCTCTCTCTCACACACACACACACACACGTGTATGTGTGTGTTAAAAGGAAGGGGGACACTAGGATAAGGAAAGGAGAATTAAAAGGACATTTTTGCCTTATTCTGAAAAGGTTTTTTTAGATTAGATTTCCCAATGCCTATCTGGGATTTTATTTTCTTTCGAAAAGACCCTGATTAGGAATTAGAACACTTGGATTGGATTCCATTGTTTAATGAAAGGAAGTAGATGGCTAAGTATTTAAAAATATATTTATGGTTTCACTAGGAAAAAGGCTCGTTGTGGAAATAAATACAATGGCCTCTAGAAAGAGGCTCTGGGGGGGGGTGCCACGGCCTTGGACACTCAGTGTCAATTTGCTGTGGCGACCACAGCAGGGTATAATGACACTGAGTCCACCATTTTCTCAAGAGGAACTGATCTCTGCTACCTAAAGTAAAGTTGTAATTTTGAGTGGTCTCCAGCCCTCACCTGGAGATTGGCAACGATGGTTCCCCAGAAGGGAATGGTTGGTTTGGAGGGTGGAGTCTATTGCTTTGTACCTGTCCAAGGTCCCACACCTCCTGAAACCTTACCCTCTCCAGGCTCCATCCCTCACATCTCTTTTTTTTAAGCCCCCGGAGGGGATATATTTTTTTTAATACTACAAAAACTACCAAGAAAAAATAGGGATAGGGGAACTACAATTAAGGAGAAAGGAAAGGCAACCCACACTAAACTAAAAACCCAAGGTTAGGAGATCATTCCGTGTTAAACTACTGTTAATGAAAAAAAAAAAGCTGTTAATAAACAATATACTTTGTGAGGACCATTCTAAGCTTATATGTTAGTTTGTTACTTGTTATGAGAAGATTTCCCGAGCATCTCCTCCAACTCGCTTCATAAAGGCAATTTCCGAAGTCCTTCCACCTTTACATCTATACTAAAACTCTCTAAAATCTTAATAACTTCTTAGACGTTCACTGCAGCCCAGTCTTCTTCCGTCCAAAGGGATAAAACCGCCAGTCTTAAGCCTCTTTCTTTCTGGTCTCGCCCTCGGGGCCCCGTGGCATCTCAAAGGTTTCTTGATTGTGAAGGGAAACTCCAGCTCTTTTTTCTCAGCAGGATTTAAGATGACACTTTCTAAGAACACTTGCAATGAAGGAGTTGAATCCTTATAAATCTTTCCTGTTTCTCTTG